ATCTGCAGGTACAACCCCCAGGAGAAGCTGAAGGTGAACTTTGGCACCCCTGAGTTCCTCTCCCCGGAGGTGGTCAACTACGAGCAGGTCTCCTACTCCACGGACATGTGGAGCATGGGAGTCATCACCTACATGCTGTACGTGGGGGCTGTGTGGGGGCACCAACATGTCCCCAAGCTGTGCCAACACCCAACTGCCTGGTGGAGGGTTCTGGATGGGAAGATGGGCAGGAGGGGGAGGGGGGCAGAGATTGGGGCAGGGGAGTGAGCTCAGCCCAGTCGCAGGCAGGATCACAGCACCTCCCTCCCCTTGTGAGGCTGCCCTGGGTTGTTCCCTGGGCCATCCAGCCATGTTTGCTCCATTCTGGGGGTGTTTGGAGGTGCCACAGCCCAAGAGCAGCCAGCTCCTCACCCCCCTGCACCTCCAGGCTCAGCGGCCTCTCCCCCTTCTTGGGTGACAACGACACTGAGACGCTCAACAACGTCCTGGCTGCCAACTGGTACTTTGATGAGGAGACCTTCGAGAGCGTCTCTGACGAGGCCAAGGACTTCGTCTCAAACCTCATCATCAAGGAGAAGAGGTGCAAGGCTGGCAGCAGCCCCGAGGGTCCTGGGGTGGGCATTCCCAGAGTCGTGTGCCCAGCCCCTGCCTACCATGGGACCAGCAGCAACCCCTGATGTCCCCCTGTGCCAAATGAGCCTTGTGTGTCCCTGCCCTGGTGGCTGGCTGTCCCCAGCAGAGCCCCGTGTCCCTGCAGAGTCACCTGCTCCAAGAAGGAGGTGCTGGATCCCTCGGGGTCCCGCCCACCCCACTGGTTCCTGGGCACATCCCTCCAGTGGGTTCCTTCCTGCAGGTTTCCAAGGGTTTTGGGGCCCATGGGCAGCTGGAGAAGGGGGTGGCTGGGCTAGAAGGGCTGGAGCAGGGGTGACCCAGGGCTCCTCTCCCCCCAGCGCCCGGATGAGCGCCGGGCAGTGCCTGCAGCACCCCTGGCTCAACAACCTGGCAGAAAAGGCCAAACGCTGCAACCGCCGGCTCAAGTCCCAGGTGCTGCTCAAGAAATACGTCATGAGGCGGCGCGGGAAGGTGCGGGGCTGGCGTGGGAGGGGGGGCAGGGTCACTGGGGGGGCTGCCAGAGGGTCAGCACCATCGGGGGGGGGGCTGCAAAACTTTACCCATCCGGGGAGATGGCATCTGGAACATAGAAGATGGCTCTGTCTCACTGTGCTGCTGGCAGCTGAGAACCCTTGAGCCTGGACAACCCCACCATGGTCCTCACATGGGTGGCCTCAGGGTGAGACCCCTCTCAGGCATTGCTTCCTTCACGGTTGTCTCCCCTGACACAGATTTTAGGGGCAGGGGTGCTGTGGGGACAGAGCAGGGGATCATCCCTAGTGCCACCTCTGGCTCCCTCCCATGCAGCCTGGCTGAGCAGTTGCCCGGGGGTTGCCCCCCTCCCCAGCCCATCTCCTCCCCAGACCCAGGGGACCTGCAGCCCCCACCGTGGCATGAGCATCTCTCCTCTTCCTCCTTTACAGAAAAACTTCATCGGGGTGTGTGCTGCCAACCGCTTCAAGAAGATCACCAGCTCGGGGTCGCTGACGGCGCTGGGTGTCTGAGTGGGGTCCCTGGGGGAGCCAGAGCCACGAGGGAGTCAAGGCCAGAGGGGGTCCCTCCTTCATCCTGCAGTGAGACCCCTCTGGGGCCAAGGACTGGAGCCCCACAGCCCCCCTCCTCACCCATACTGCTGCCACATGGTTGCTCTGGACCCCACGCTGCTGCGCCCCTGCTCCGTGCCACTGCCACCACTGGTCCTGCAGCGTCCCCTGGGGCTGCTGTGCCCTCCCTGGGCACCCAGGGGCTGCTCGGGGGGTGGACCCCACTGGGCTCCTCACCCGGAGCTGCTCTGTTGAACTCATTGCATCCCTGTGCCCATCCAGCCAACGCTCCTGGCTGGGTCTCTTGGACTATGAGGCCACTTCTGAGCGGTGGTTCCTGATTCCTTCCCTGATCCACAGCACCTCTGCTCCCGCTCCCTTTCCATGGCCTTGGAGAAGAAGGTTCAGCCCGGTGTGGTCCCAGCTGCCCGGGCCACCCCGCGTGCTTGCTGCTGCCTTGGACCCAGCCCCATGCTCTGCCTGTAAATGCCGCAGCCCTGCCCTGCCTTTTGCTGCCGCTGGCCCCTGACCTTTCCCCCCCCCTCTCCCTGCTTTTTGTAAGCCTCC